AAAAAAAGGGCCCTCATCCCAGAAGCCCACAAGACGGCAGGTCTAGTATCGGCGCCCGATTAGTCCATGTTCATCAGAAGCAGAGAATGAAAATTGAGAATCATTCATGAACGACGTTAATAAAAGTTTCCTAAATTACTAGGTTAATGAACCTATGTTTCATGAATCCCTTGTCCAGATTTGGTGTCAAACGGGTTGTCCAAATTCGGTGTCAAACGCTTTTGCTACGCGAAAACTCATCGTCGAGTTCTCTTCAATTGTTTCTCACATGATAAGGAAAAAGATCCGCAACATTAAAGGTTGATGAAACGCCATAGTTCTCGAGAAGCTCAATTTTATATTCATTCTCATCAATTATTTTTAAGAACTTTAAAAGGATCGTTAGCTCGAGGCTTTAACTTCCCATATCCATCCCTCGGAAAATGTTCTTTTCGAAGATGAACTCAAACCTGATCCGCCGGATCGGGTATGAGTCAACTAGCTATTGGTCAACCTTTTTAAAAAAAAAAAATCATTTTTTTTTGTAATTGCTCGAGTTAACCCACCAAGTTGGCCGGTTCTACCCACATATCACGGGCCTTAGGAAGTGTAGCCCATAGCCGACCCTTCATATCCGGACTGGTGCTAGAATGGTCGGTCGACATACCATGTCTAAATAACTAGGTCCAGATTCTGGGTTCGGTTTCGATTCCGGAGGGTATGTCTCTAAAATAGATGTTTAATATGATCGGTAACATTAAAAAAACAAGGGTAAATTACAATCACCCCCGAGGTATGGTACAATTACGAAAACTCCCCTCCTATTTGGGTAATTACAACAACCCCTCACCTATAAATTTTCTTACACGTCCACCCTCGCGGTTTCAAATTTAGTGGAGTCTTCTTGATTATATGAAATATTATCACTTTTATTTGTACCCATTTTATCCCATTCGAGCTCCACATTTTGAAGCAAGACGATCATAAGATGTGTTTTTTGGCTTGTATATATCACATTGTGATGTATTAGAAACTGTATTTTTACACAAAACGAGTACAATCTGGAGCACATTCCACGGAATCTAGATGATTATGTTTTTGACACCATAAGGGTGGATGTGTAAGAAAATACATAGTTGAGAGATAGATGCAATTATCCAAACAATAGGGGGTTTTTCGTAATTTGACCATAACTCAGGGGTGGTCCTAATTTACCCAAAAAAATATTAAGTCAATATAAAAATAATTTATAGGGAGACCTTGAATCTAAAAAAATAAGTCTCTAACATGGCGGAAACTCCAATTCATTTTACCTTCATGTAAACCATAGATAAACAACCAGGGAAAACGAT